AAGCATTCATCACCACGATTCCAATTCTTCATCGGTTTTCGTGTAGAATCTTGTTCGAGCAAACATCGTCACTAAGAATTTCATCTTATTTGGACTCTGTTCGATGCTAGAAGAGATCGTTGATTATTGATTCAGGTAAGTTCGTGACAATCATTCTCGTTTCTTCTTCTTCAAGCATTTATCACCACGACTCCAGTTCTTTATCGGGTTTCTTGTAGGATTTTTATTGGAGCAAACATCGCTACTAGATTTTCGTGGAAATCATCGATCACTGATTCAGGTAAGTTCTCGACCATTTATCTGTGTTATTCAAGTTTCCTCTTCTTCATGCATTCATCACGACGATTCCAATTCGTTATCGGTTTTCCAAGTAGAATCTTCTTCGAGCATTCATCTCTGTTAAACTTTCACGTTTTCTGGACTCTGTTCACTGCAAGAAGAAGTCACTGATCATTGATTCAGATAATTTTTCAGCCATGATCCCTATTCTTGATTGGTTTTCTTGTAGAGTCTTTTTGATAACAGTTTTGTAAAAGCTAGGGTTTGATGTTGGTCTCAGAAATGGAGGCCGAGAGTTGCAGAAGATGACTTGCTTTTCTCTTTTGTTTTTGTTTCTGTAGAATCTTCTTCGAGCCAGAAAAATGTCAGCCGTGTTTACTAAGGGTTTTCGATTTAACCCAACCGATGAAGAACTGGTGACAGAGTACCTTACGCGGAAGATACGTTCTCCGGATTTCATTTGCTTCATCAAAACCATGGATTTGTATGACCATGACCCGTGGTTACTTCCGCATGAGAGAGATCCGTGTTTTGGTGAGCACCAGTGGTATTATTTTGTGCAAAAAAGCCCTAACGGTCACAAAAGACTCATGAAGGAAAAGAGTTCATTAGCAAACGGGTGGTGGAAGCGATATACAGAGGAAATCGTTAAAGACGGTGACGAGGAGAGAAGGGTTATTGGATGGAAATCAACACTCGTTTTCTACGTGTGTAACAGGAGTAACAATTACGTGGGGATCACGGATTGGACAATGGAGGAGTTCAAGCTTCCGGATTCTGATGAGTGGTTTCTTTGCCGTCTCTTTTACACAGATTGGAATGAGTATTATGACAGACCAAGGCTCTCCGGGAAAGAACATCCAAGCCTTAAGTGGGATGCGTTGAAGCAAATACAAGATGATTTGAGTTCTAGTCAGAATGTCCAACCACACTTGTTTACTTACGGATTCCGATTCAACCCGACAGATAAAGAACTCCTCACTTTGTATCTAGCACCAAAGACGCGTTGCTCTGGATTTATATGCTTCATAAAAGACACCAAGGTCTATTCCAAGGAGCCGTGGTTGCTTGATCATGAAAGAAATCCATACTACAAGGATAAGGAGTGGTATTACTTTGTGAAAAACTCTTCGTCTAATCGTGAACAACTGAACCAGAAGTTCTCATTGTGTGATAAGACGAAGAGATGGAGAAGCAATGGCGAAGTCTCAAAAATCAGAGACAATGACATAGGTAACACCATTATCGGGTCAAAAACAAAGTTTTCGTTCAATTTGAACCAAAGTGTATTCTCAAGGACAGGCTGGAAAGTAGAAGAGTTTGACCTCGCTCCCCCTTCAAAATGGTCAGTCTGCAAACTCACTTACAAAGATGGTTCAAGCTCGGTTGATGATAGACCAAGACTACCAAGAGAAGAGCATCCAAAGCTTGCATGGCAAGATTTGAAGGATTTACACGAGGAAAATTAGGCTAAACAATCTTTTGGTTCTACTCTTTTTTTTTGTTTCTTTGGTTGCTAAAACAGAAACATGAGACTCTCTCAAACACTGTCTTTGTATTACCCCAAAACAAAAACTAATGAACAACAACTTAGATGATAAATATTAACATAACATGTTAGCTAAGGTCTTTGGCTCTATTATACATTTTCAAAGTAGAGAAGAACGGTTTTCAGATTCTGATTTTATCCTTTTTGAAGATGGAATGTCCTTGACAGAAGAATCATCATGACTTGATGATGATGATGAATCAATGTCTTCTTCTTCAAGCTTTCTCTTGTTAGAATGGCTTAAGTTTTTGCATTCCTCTGCTTCATTACTCAATATAAGCTGTTTTATTCGCTTTACGTCTGCTAGTTTCACTGGTTTTAACAGAAAATCCTCTGCTCCTTCCTTCAAACATCTGAAT